CGGCTGAGCAGCCAGAAGGACGTGGCGGACAGGCAGAGAGCCTCGCCGGGCGGCCGCGTCCCCAAATCCGCCTCCGTCTCAGCCCTGTCCCTCATCATCACGTCGGGTCCGTGTGCCGCGCGGTTCGTCCTGCCGGTTGGCCGTTGCCGTGGGGTTTTCCCGGGCTGAGCCAGCTTCTCCCGCTTGCAGATGACTTCAGTGGCAGCGCCCTGATGAGCCCCATCTCCCCCCACTCCCTCTCATCCAACCCCTCTTCCCGCGACTCCTCCCCAAGCCGAGACTCGTCCCTCGCCATCGCCAGCCTGCGGCCCCCCATCATCATCCACAGCTCGGGCAAGAAGTATGGCTTCACCCTGCGAGCCATCCGCGTCTACATGGGCGACAGCGACGTCTATACCGTCCACCATATGGTCTGGGTGCGTGGCTTGGGCTCTGTGTGGGGAGGAACCGGCACTGCCAGACACGTTCCCCAGCGGGAAGACCCCAGGAGGAAGCTTGGGTTTGTATCCGAATAAAACCTCGTTCTTCCGATTGCAGAGCGTGGAAGAGGGGAGCCCTGCGCAGGAAGCGGGGCTGAGAGCGGGCGATCTCATCACACATGTGAACGGCGAATCGGTGCTGGGTTTAGTTCACCGGGACGTCGTGGAGCTGCTGCTGAAGGTGGGTGAGCGGCACGCGGCGTCACCTCCGCCACCAACCGAGGTGGGAGCCGGTTCAGATCCGGTGCTTGGACTGCAGCAACTCATTTTCTGCCCCTCAGAGTGGCAATAAAGTGGCTCTGCGGACCACCGCCCTGGAGAACACCTCCATTAAAATTGGTCCCGCTCGGAAAAACAGCTCCAAGACGAGGATGGCACGGAGGAGTAAGAAGAGCAGGAAAAGGGACGGCCAGGACAGGTCGGTAGAACCAGGGTGGGATAAAATGGCGTTTGTCCTGGCGTGTGCCGGGGGGGGGGATGCTCTGGCTCTGCCATACCGGGGTGTCCGGTGGGCTCCGGTCCTGCCAGCACTGGTTTGGCAGACTCGGGG